GAGGCTCTGGTCCGTCCTCCATCGGCCGCGGTCCTTGACCTCCTTCCTGGTGCGTCGGAGAGACAGGAGGTCGTCGGACGCACCCCCATGCCGAAGGGAGTAGAGCGTCATCTCGGCTTCCAACCCGAGCGCAGCGGCAGCACGACGGAACATGCTCCGCACCCCGTCGGGGGCGAAGGTCCAGAGGCCGTCGCTCGTCTTCTTGCCCAGCACCAGCGCGTCGAGAAGGGGCCAGAGCGTCGGGTTGTCGACGATCACGCTCTCGTCCATCTCCCCTGTCTTCCCAGGACGATCGAGGCAGGCGTCGTTGACGATCAGGGCCCAATGTCCGTACCCGCGGGCGGCATCGGGTCTTGGTCGAATAACGCTGCCCGCTGTTAGCCGATAGGCCTCGCTGGGCCTCAGGTAGGTGTCGAACATCAGCCTGACGAACACTGCCATGCCGAAGAGCTTCCACGAGATGAGGACGCCCACGATGGAGGCCATCGCCGCCCGTGGAAGGGGTAGTCGCATCTGCGGGGGCACGAGCTTCCGCCAGCCTGTCAAGGCGCGAGCTGCACGCGGGCACGGCGTCCTGCCCACCAGGATCGAAGGCAGGTAGTGCTTCAAGGAGGCGAGCAGGACTCGGCCCGTAGCACTGTCGAAGCCGTCCAGAAAGAGGTTCACGAAGTAGGTAACTAGGATGACATCGACCTCCGCCGCCGTGAAGGTCTGGGACGTCCAGCGGCACCACACCTCGAACTTCTTGGCGGCGCCCCAGTAGTTGGCCATGGTTGTGTCCGACACGGCAGCTGACTCGAGGACCGAGAGCGCACCCCGCCCGAGCCGTTGTGGTCCTGGATGCGTCTTGGTCCTCTGCTCCGTCACGGTCGTGGCTCGCTGGCGCCGAAACTCGGGGTGCAGCCGCTTGGTGCTCCTCGAAGGTCGGCCCGACAAAGAAACCTGTCCTCGACGGCGAGTCTGCGGCATTGCTCTCGCTAGGGATCCATCGCACAGCGTGGCGAATGCCAGAAGCTGCGGACAGAGCACAGAGGCGTCGTAGTGGATCGCGAAGCCCTCGGGCACCAGAACGTCCCTTGCCAGCAGCAAGGGCTAGAGCCAAATTGTCGACGGTGAACAGGATGCGATGATGTCGAAGCCGTCCAGACCGAGACGAGTGTCGCATCGCAAATCCGAGAGCCTCCGCCTCGTATCGCATGATGTCCAAACCGAACCTCGAATGCCGTGCGCTATATATCGTAGACCAGCCGTCGGAAGCCGTGATCGAGTCGGGAACCTCGTCGAAGCCGTCCAGCGAAATCCCGTCGAGCCCTCGAGGTGATGATGATGCGGTGGGCGAGGGCATGCTTTGGGCCTCGGGAGGCCTCGGGCACTGCTCGCAGTCTTTGAGGCCTCTTTTGCTCACGGCAGCTTCCAACGCGACGTTCGGGTCGACTCCCAGAGCGTGGGCGCGGGCGTGCACGGCATCGGAGAAACGGTAGCGCCATTTCTCAGACAGTCGACCTGCGGCAGCAGCGACCTCTTGTTCCACGAACTTGCGACACACGCCAATGCCGTATGGAGAGGCGTCGCTGCAAAAGGTGGTGGCCGCCCACTCTGCCCTGACATCAGCCCACCACAACGGGATGAGGGAAGCAGCGGCACGGAGCTCAGAGACGACTGACGGCCACAGCGGCAAAGCCCGACGCGAGTCCTGACCCATGAAGCGGTAGACTGCGTGGAAGATGGAGAGCATGGGCCTGTTGGTGATCATCCCCCAGGCGCAGTGCCCGACCACGGCGGACAGCGCAAGCGGAGAGGCGAAGCCACGTCTGAGTAGCCCAAGTAGGGCCTGGCGCAACCGAGACAACCGGCCCACCTTGCACCTGATGACGCCGACGTCGCCCAGGATGTCGAGGCCAGTGAAGGTGACGCGCTGCGCCGCGGGGGCGAACTCTTCTACAGGTAAGCCCCTCGCAACCAGCACGTCTCGAATGGCCTGGCACGAAGCGGTGGCAACTTCTGGACTGAGTGAGACGGTGGCGAAGTTATCCACGTAGCCAGCTGCGATGATGTCGCCATGGTCTCGCAGAGGACGAGGTGCTGAACCGTCTACCAACATCGCATCATCGTCGATCCCCGAGTCGCGCATGGCTGTGGTTAAGGCTGACTGGCAAAAGTGGAGAGCCCACGACCACCCCACCGGCATCACAGACACAAACGGTTGTAAGAAGGCCTTCGTGGGGAGCTTCAGTCCATTGATCGCCTTGAAACCCAAGTACCGATTCGGGACCACTGGCAGAGAGAAATATCTGTGCAGCTGGGGCGGCAACTTCATGTGATAGAATGCGCACTGGATGTCACCCTGCGCCACGTAGAAGTCATCCGAAGCCTCGAGTGCACTCCGTGCCGACGGAGTCGGCAATCTCGTAGAAGGGGGGGCAGAGAAGGACATGTTGGCAACCCGCGTGTCGAAGACGAGCCGAAGGTTGACCCCATTGGATTTCTCGACGAAGAAGAAGCCTGTGGAGTAGGGCGCCTGACGTTCGGCGACCTCCCACTCTAGCATGCCAGCCTGATCCAAGCGCAGCAAAAAATCAGCATACTCCCGAGGGCGAAACCGAAGGCGAGGATCCACGCATGGCGAACCGATGCCCGAGTCCTCCCTGAGAGTAGCTGTCTCCGCGGGATCACGTAGCATTTGTTGCCTCCACCCTGACAACGTTGAACGATCGGCGTCGGACACGAGATCGGCCGTGGGAACGGGGGCCACGTGCTTCGGCCAGGAGACGAGCTCCTTGTCGTAGGGTCTCACCCGAGACTCACCAGAGTATCCAGGCGCCGACGCGAGCAACTCTGCCAGGGCTGCCTCGCATCTGATCGGAGATTCGGAATATCCAGGAGGTAGTTCAACATCGCGAAACTGTTGAGCAAGATACTCTTCAGCGTCGCTACGAGCGCGCGGAGGAAGACCTGGAGGCGGAGTAACCATATCATCAGGGTCGCAATGGTACATGTCGTTGAGGGTGGACACGGCATCGTTGTACCACTCTCTCCAGGCAGCACCCTTGGCGGCCCGTCCGCGGGCTGAACCACCCATCGACGCGATACCAGATCGTCGCTCCACAGGGATAGGACGGAGAGGAAAAACGTCACGCTGCCGAACTTGATGAGCAGCGCTGGGGCAATGCGCCTGGCTGGCGCCACTGAGGCGCGCCCCACAGCCAGGCCTGGACTTCTCAGATATCATGGCGCCCGCAAGGCACGCTCCTCACGCGCCTTGCGTCGTTCTTTGCTGATGGCGGCCTCCGCCTTCATCTGATCTGCGATGTATTCGAGCAGCTTCGGAGAGATGCACAAGTTGGCCTTGGAGACCCCCGCGCCCAAGAAGTAGCTCGTCTCGGCCATGCTGACGGCGGTGGCCGCCGCGGCGCTCCTGGCTCCAGACTTGGCCTTGGGCGCGGCAGCCGTCGGGGGCGCCGAGCGAGACTCGTGCACCCGTTCCTCCAGCAGCTGAAGCTGACGTGCGACGACCTCGAAGGACGCCATCTCCGCCACCTGCAGTTGGTCGTAGACCACGGCGAGGTCTAAGACCCGACAGAGGGTCTCATGGAGCTTGGCGTACTCGTCGTCGTCGGCCAGGGCCATGGCCGTGAGCCACCGCTGATGCCACGCGGTGGGCGTCCCCGCCATGGTTGACATAAAGGACAAGCACCAGAGAAGAGTACGCGGGCCCTGGATGGGCCAGCCCACCACCTCGGTCTCTGAGAGGCCGTTCACCGTCTCGCCGAACCTCCGCTCGCGCTCGCCCCGCTGGTTGATCGCCATCGGCAGCACCCTGAAGTCGCCAGCAGGAACGGGAAGAGCATCGACCGCGAGAGCGCCACCAGCCGCAGCTCCAGGCACAGGCGCCAGCGGCGGCGCCGCGGCAGGGCCAGGTGGCACGGGTCCCAGAGCGGCGGCCAGCGCCGCGACTCCAGGGGCGGCCCCCGGCGGGACGGGAGCAGCAGGACCATCCGCAGGTGGTAGGGCGAGAGGCGGCGCAGGCGCGGCGGCGGCCGCAGCTGCTGGGTCCGCCAGCGGGAAGGGCCCTGGAGGCGCGCCTGCAGCGTTGCCCGCCGCGAGAGCCAGAAGAAGAGGGTCCGCTGGCATCGGGTACCCCGCGGCCACGGAGCGACCCACGGCAGCCCACAGCTCCGCGGCCGTCGGCAAGCGTCTGAATCGATGCACTGCGGCGCCGACCAGCGCAGCAGGCGTGTCGCCCTGTCCAGCCAGCGGCAGCACGGCCCGCACGTCGGGCCCCACCACGATCGGCTCATCGTAGTCGTCGAAGTCGGGCGTGACGACATACGCGAACCCCGCCGAGACCCCGAGCACTAAGCGCTCGTGCCACAGAGCCACACCTCCCACGCGGTAGCGAATAGCGTGGAAGCCTCCCGCCATCACTGAAGTGCTGGGGCTCGGCGGCGAGCAAGCCTCACCTGCTCGGCAGCGAGCGCGTCGATGTCGATCACCTCCGTGGGCAGCTCACCACCCGTGGGCTCGAGCGGCGGAGCAAGTGCACGACGAGCCGCGAGGACGCCTACACCAGCGCCGACGGCGAGCCCGACCGTGCAGGCGGCCACAGCGTACGCCGCCACGATGCCCGCACACGAGGGCTCGACCACCTGCCCGCCCGCGCCCGCGCACACGCAGGATGGGCAGGAGAGGGTCGGCGGCGCGGGACACGCCAAATGTGGGGAGCAAGACCCGCAGCTGGGAGCCGAAGCGCGGGCCACCAGCGAGGCCCCCAGCGCCTGCGCCCCGAACCTCAGGACGTCCGCAGCATGGTGGGCGAGGTCCTGCATTCCTGGGCAGGACACCTGAGAAGCTTGAGAATGGAAGTGCGGCCCGAAAGAGAGCCACAAAAAGCCGCGGGCATCAATATGATGATGATGATGATGATGATGATGATGATGATGATGATGATGATGATGATGATGATGATGATGATGATGATGATGATGATGATGAGGCCTGTTCTTCTGCGATGGACGTCTGGTGCGCCATCCACGTAACAACAGCACACGCTCGAGCCCGCGGCCTTGCCCTACCCCAGTGGGCCTCGACGGGTTGAACCCAACTCGAGACACAAGGCTTGAGCGCAACTCGAGGCCGTGCTCAAGGCACGGAGCATCAGCTTCCTGCAGGTCCCTCCGCTCGGTGAGCGGAGGGAGGGGGAGCATTGGTCGAGGAGGAGCGCCCTCCTCAAGCATCGGCCTCTCCTGCCCCGCGACGCCTCTCGGCGGCGGCGCAGGAGCATCCTCCTGCTCGATCCCCCATGGGTCCACGAGGAAGGAGCGAATCTGGACGTTCTGTCACCCGTGTCTGGACCTTCTGAAGCCTCCGGGCGGGAGGATGAGCACGAGGAGAAGCAAGACTACGGCCTCCGACGCAGTCAACAACAGAAATCTGGGCAAATGTAATCAACAGTTCCTGGCCTCCAGGGGCCGTGTATGACCATCTCGGATGCGACGAAGAGGCTGACCGAGGCATGCACACGCGGACGAACTTTCATGGCCGCGGCCGTGGTATCCACACGCACTCGCATATGTTTGGAGGACGCGACGTCGCGCGCGGCGACGAAGCGGAGTCAGTAAGAGTACTAAGCGAGGGGTCGAGAACCACACCACACACACAGGCACACACACGCACAGAGACACACACACATATACACACAGACGCACACACAAACACACGCGCGCACACACACACACACACACACACACACGCACTGACGCACACAACACACACACAGGCACGCGCGCACGCAAACACGCACGGACACGCACACACGCACACGCACACACTCACTCACTCACTCACTCACTCACTCACTTATTCACTCACTTACTCACTCACACGCACCCAGACACACACCCAGACACCCAGACACACACACACAGACGCACCCACACACACACTGGCACACACACACACACACAGACACACACACACACAGACACAGACGAACACAGACACAGACACAGATACGGACACAGACACCGACACCGACACAGACACACACACATAGACACAAGCACACACACACACACTCACACTCACACACAAACACAAACACAAACACACACACATATATACATAGATATGTATATATGTATATACATATACCCATATTTACTCTTATATATATATATATATATATGTATATATATATGTATATATGTATATATACACATATATACATATACATATATATATATATATATGTGTGGAGCTGCGGGCTCCCGCGATGGGGAGGCCTCGACGATGGAGTCGCCGAGGATGGGAAGGCCCACGGGAGAACTACCATCTCGCCCTGAGAGAATGGGGCAGACCCGGCCGCATGGGGGGGCTTGAGGGTGGAGGGGCGCCTGAGGGGCTGTCCACCGCTGGTGGGTTCTCCTCCCTCCTTTTCGTTTCTCCCCTCGCTCCTCCTCTCTTTCCCAGAGGAACAGAAAAACGGCATAAACATTAACTTTTGGCGTTCAGCGCGGAGTTCTTCGATCTGAGGTGGATCCCCCTCCCTGGCGCGCGGAGCGCGCCAGGGGCGGCGCCGGAGGCACCACCAGGGCGCTCCAGCGCAGGTTCAAGAAATCCGCGCGTAGCGCCTAAATTTTATGTTTATGCAATTTGTTGCTCGATTTTCTCGGACCCCATCTACGCGGACCTCATTTGCTGCGATCCTCCGACCCCCTCAACTCGGACCCCATCCAAGAGGCCTAGATCCTCTCTGTTCTTCTCTCTCGGCCTGGGGGGGGGGCTCAGCCATACAGCGATGCGCCTCGCAGACCTTGGGCTTGCCGCGCTCGCGCTGGCTCCCGGCCATGCGGGCGTGGCCCCGGTGCTGCGCGGGCTCCTGCCCGGCACCTGGGTGGTTCCGTCCTCGCGGCTTGGGCCCGCGCCCCTGCTGCCTGCGGGTGCGCGGCACTGCACGGCTCAACCGCCCCCCCCTTCGGCTCTCTCCCCCTCGCGGCGCACGGTCCTTTCCCCCCCGCGATCGCCATCGCTCGGCCGTCCATTCCCCGCGCAGTCCTCGGTGTCGTGTGTGTCTTTGTTGGCGCACGATGATCCAAGGAGCTCCTCGATGGCCCTCGCCGAGCATTGTTTTCTCTCCGCCCGAGCGGTGCCAGGCCCCTGGTGGCCTTCCTCTCCCCAAAGGCCCCGTGACGGCCTGGGGCAGCAGGCCCCGCGCCACTGGGGAGCACGCGGGGGCCGTGGCCGTGCGGGCCCGTGCCCACGCGTGGGGGGGCACGGGGCCTCGCGCGCAGCGGGAGTGGACGCAGCCGCTCCTGCGCCTGCGCTGCAGGCCGCCTGTGCGTTCGTGACTACCTGCCAGACCACCCCAGACCAACACGAAGACCCGAACTTCGGGTTGGAGTGGGGGGGGGTTACGGGTCCCACATGTGTTTTCAATGTCCCCCGCCCCCCCCCCCAGAAATGGAGGGCGACTTGAGGCCTTCGGCTTGGGTTGGGGCGGTTCGGTGGGTGGTGCGCTTGCGCGCAGGCTCTCTGAAATCCTCGGGGCCCCTGAGTCTAGGGGCCGGAGGGCGCGAGGGGGCAGGTCGCGTTCGGACGCCGCGACCGTGGCGCTCCAGGATGGCGGGGCTCCGTCCGCCCAGGGCCTCCCTCTCCCCCGTCCTCTCGCTTCCCTCCCTGTCTGTTTCTCGCTGGCCCCCGCGCTTAAGCAAGCGGCGGGCCAGTTGATTCGGCTCTCGGCCCGCCGCCGCTGCTGCGCCCCCCCCCCCCCCGCACACACACACACACACACACACACACACACACACACACACACACACACACACACACACACACACACACACACACACACACACACACACACACACACACACACACACACACCACACACACACACACACACACACACACACACACACACACACACACACACACACACACACACACACACACACACACACACACACACACACACACACACACACACACACACACACACACACACACACACACACACACACACACACACACACACACACACACACACACACACACACACACACACACACACACACACACACACACACACACCTAGTCCTCCCACCCCTTTTGCTTTCCCCTGACAAACAAGAAATGATTCACCAGGGAAAACGGACACCCCCCCAAAAAACGACGGACGACATGCGCCTCGGCACGGAAGTGTGGCCGGCACTTCAGCGGAAGTGCCACTCCAGACCAGGAGCGTGAGCGGCGCGCGAGCGGCAACACCATGACCAGTCGGGCGCGCGGCCAACGCTGAGGCGACGGTAACGTTCCCGGTCAGAGACCCAGACCCCCGACGTCATGTTTTTTTCCCCACATGCTTCGTGGGGTTCTGGTGTTCTTCCCTGCCGCGTCGCACCCGCGTCTCACCTCACACCCTCCCTCCTCCTCGCAGCACTGCTCAGCACAGCTTGGTCTCTCACCGCGGCCCCTATGCGTGCCAGGGTCGGAGAGCGTGGCAGGCGTGGCACTTTCTCGACAGCAGGGGGGGTGCGTAGGGGGTGGTCTCTCACCGCGGCCCCTATATGCGTGCCAGGGTCGGAGAGCGTGGCAGGCGTGGCACTTTCTCGACACCAGAGAGGGTGCGCATGGGGTGGTCTCTCACCGCGGCGTCTATGCGTGTCAGGGTCGGAGAGCGTGGCAGGCGTGGCACTTTCTCGACACCAGAGAAGGTGCGCAAGGGTGGTCTCTCACCGCGGCGTCTATGCGTGCCAGGGTCGGAGAGCGTGGCAGGCGTGGCACTTTCTCGACAGCAGGGGGGGGCGCAGGGGGTGGTCTCTCACCGCGGCGTCTATGCGTGCCAGGGTCGGAGAGCGTGGCAGGCGTGGCACTTTCTCGACACCAGAGGGGGTGCGCAGGGGGTGGTCTCTCACCGCGGCCCCTATGCGTGCCAGGGTCGGAGAGCGTGGCAGGCGTGGCACTTTCTCGACACCAGAGAAGGTGCGCAGGGGGTGGTTTCTCACCGCGGCGCCTATGCGTGCCAGGGTCGGAGAGCGTGGCAGGCGTGGCACTTTCTCGACAGCAGGGGGGGTGCGTAGGGGGTGGTCTCTCACCGCGGCCCCTATGCGTGCCAGGGTCGGAGAGCGTGGCAGGCGTGGCACTTTCTCGACACCAGAGAGGGTGCGCAGGGGGTGGTCTCTCACCGCGGCCCCTATGCGTGCCAGGGTCGGAGAGCGTGGCAGGCGTGGCACTTTCTCGACATCAGGGGGGTGCGCAGGGGGTGGTTGACTATGCGTGCCAGGGTCGGAGAGCGTGCAGGCGTGGCACTTTCTCGACACCGGAGAGGGTGCGCAGGGGGTGGTCTCTCACCGCGGCGTCTATGCGTGCCAGGGTCGGAGAGCGTAGCAGGCGTGGCACTTTCTCGACACCAGGGGGGGTGCGCAGGGGGTGGTGGTCTCTCACCGCGGCGCCTATGCGTGCCAGGGTCGGAGAGCGTGGCAGGCGTGGCACTTTCTCGACACCAGAGGGGGTGCGCAGGGGGTGGTCTCTCACCGCGGCGTCTATGCGTGCCAGGGTCGGAGAGCGTGGCCGGAGCGGCACTTTCTCGACACCAGAGAGGGTGCGCAGGGGGTGGTCTCTCACCGCGGCGCCTATGCGTGCCAGGGTCGGAGAGCGCGGTAGGCGTGGCACTTTCTCGACACCAGGGGGGGTGCGCACGGGGTGGTCTCTCACCGCGGCGTGTATGCGCGCCAGGGTCGGACACCGTGGTCGGCGTGGCACTTTCTCGACACCAGAGAGGGTGCGCACGGGGTGGTCTCTCACCGCGGCGTCTATGCGTGCCAGGGTCGGAGAGCGTGGCCGGCGTGGCACTTTCTCGGCACCAAAGAGGGTGCGCAGGGGGTGGTCTCTCACCGCGGCGCCTATGCGTGCCAGGGTCGGAGAGCGTGGCAGGCGTGGCACTTTCTCGACACCAGGGGGGGTGCGCAGGGGGTGGTCTCTCACCGCGGCGTCTATGCGTGCCAAGGTCGGAGAGCGCGACAGGCGTGGCACTTTCTCGACACCAGGGGGGGTTCGTAGGGGGTGGTTGCTCACCGCGGCGTCTATGCGTGCCAGGGTCGGAGAGCGTGGCAGGCGTGGCATTTTCTGGACACCGGAGGGGGTGCGCAGGGGGTGGTCTCCCTATGCGTGCCAGGGTCGTCCAGGCATTGCACGCGTGGCATTTTCTCAATACCAGAGGGGGTGCGCAGGGGGTGGTATCCCTATGCGTGCCAGGGTCGTCCAGACATAGCCTCTAGTGCGGGATTGCGTATTACCTCTCGTATCCATGTGCCAGGCGACGCCGGAT